CTCTAAACTACTAGAATTTACTAAATAAACAATACACATTATATTATATATCAATATTACTGAACAAAAAAAAGTCAATGCTAATATTGTTTTACCAGTAATATTTGTGTTTTTTTTTCTGGACAGCACATAAACATGAATATATTAAGTAACTTATACTCTTCTGGGCTAAAACTGAGGGTGCATGCGCACACAAAGGCTGCTGCTCCTCATTCCCTTGCTTCACTTTTCAAGGAGAGGACAAGACATGGTCGAAATAAAACTTAAGTTGTCTGGGTTCTTTGGCTTTATTTTACATTTATTGTATTTTCCAGCCACTGCCTCATAGAAAAAATTTTCATTCCTGCACAGCTGCTGAAATATCATGCATGCAAAAACAAACAAGTCAGCAAAAAAACGCAGCGGCCTTCAAAAATGCAGCACCGGGGGGATTTCRGGATTTCACACCAACTGCTACATCTTTATTGCTCGTGGTAACAAAAGCAGTCCCTTGCTAAATAATCTTCAATTGAAAAACAAGTAAAATCAATCTCGGGAAGTTCAACCAGGGTTCAGTGCCTGAAGGCGTCTGACGGCGAACTCGTGCTTGCACAACATCTTCAGTGGGCCGCTACACGGCGGGGGGGGGGACGACTCACCCACAGCTTCTGCCAGGCCGAAGACCTTCTGATTGTAGGCGTCTGTTTTATCCCAGATGAAGGTGTAGGAGAGGTCGGGGAAGGCGGGGAAAGACTTCTGGAACTGACGGCCCATGACGGCCACCATCAGGTGCACCTTCATAAGGCCAAAGGGGAGGCGATCCTGGGTCAGCAGCACCTTGAGGATGGGCTTGTAGCCAGCTGCCCTGGAGCTCAGGTAGACCAGGTTGAGGTCACTGCCYGGTATGGCCACTTGTTCGTGAAGTACCTGCAATTTTAATTAGCGGTGAGATCGGTGCCAAAAACCGGCGTGAAGTGTGGACATAAAAACAGCTAAAAGGAGCAGCGGGAGTGTGTATTTAACTTAGAGAATGACCCTAATTACAGCATATAACGTTACTGAGCAATCTGCAAACACTAAATTCTACTGGTGTGTTTGCATACTGGCTTAACTTACAGGCATCAGTGCATTCCATTCCTTGTTATTACTTAAAAAAAGCATCAAATATAGCACTAGAAATTGAAAAGTTTTAATGTTTTTTTTTAAAAGAGAGTCTCGGTTTGCACCTGAAGYAGCAATTATGCAGAAACATACAGATTTGCTTTTCTCAGCTGGAATGTAACACAGATATGTTTTGCACAGACTTAAAAAAATTAAAAAAAAAAAAAAGCAAAGACTGCAGTCACATTTTGCAGTTACTGGTTTTCAACTGTGATTTTACTGAACTGGCTGCAAATCAAAACCCATTGGCCTGTAACCAGAGAATTTATTTATCGCTGCTGCTGTGACAAAATTTATTGCTTTGTATTTGGGGAGATGCCTCAATTCAATAAAGGCCCAAAGGCAGGCTGAAAGGCCAATRTGACTCTGCTGGAAATACGCAAGACAAGTCACGGTGGAATGAAGATAACAACATAATTATTTTCAACACAACAGCCTGAAATGTTGGGATCAAACTTGGGTCAATTTATAGCAGTCCTCCCAAACAGTCAGMTACGGGGCAGATTGCAGAATTGGCTATAAAAACTCTTTAATATGATGCCTTCGGGTCACCTCTGTCTCACCTGTGTCTCGGGGATGATGGGACTGTCTTCTGGGGAGGTTTTGTACAAAGTGGAGAGTGGTGAGGCCAGGATGAGGGGGTTGGGCCTGACCAGGCCTGTTAGGTAACAGCTGGGGATGTCGTTCTCCTCCCGCTTCATCACCACAGTGTCCATCACGTGGAAAACGTTCCAGGGCAGCCACACGGTGCGGTGCAGCGTGGGGAACGGGGCTCGCTCRTAACTCAGCGTCAAAGAGGCGCCGCCGTTCGCCAAGAGGTCAAACCTTAACACAACGATGAAACGTTAATAATTCATCTTAGAATAACTATCTGAAAAACSCTTCAWMCTTTCTGAACRATTTTTATAGCGAGGGTTGTAATTTTATTTTGTTTTCTATTTTTTGCAAATGTATGCAATGTGATAAACTGTAAGCAAGTAATACTACACTACACTGTATGTGTGAATGAACACTTAGGTGTCTAAGTTTAAATTCTTAATAAGAATCAGTTATTTTCTTTAAAAAAATCTGTAAAATAACCCAAAAAATAAGCAAGAATTGAAGAATGTACTGTATACATATACACATATACATAGTATATTGCTGGTTGCTGAGAATGCCGACGTCACAAAATGCATCATGGGGCCAGGAAGTAAATGCAGTCCTGTTTACCTTTTGTTGATTCAGTGTCAAAATGCCTAAAATCTGTGCCATGTAAGGTTGTTGCAATAGCTCTAATTAGGAGAAAGACACACACACACACACAGAAGCTTGCTGGTTGCTGAGAATGCCGACGTCACAAAATGCATCATGGGGCCAGGAAGTAAATGCAGCCCTGTTTACCTTTTGTTGATTCAGTGTCAAAATGCCTAAAATCTGTGCCATGTACGGTTGTTGCAATAGCTCTAATTAGGAGAAACACACACACACACACACACACACACACACACACACACACACACACACACACACACAC